AAAGGAGGCTTGTAGTGGGATTTTGTAAATCATTATTTTTTTTGTAAATGAGAGAGGTGCCGCCCTGCTGCAGTCGTTTGCTCGCGCGAGACCGCTCGTGGAAGAATATCCACGATTCTTTCACGCTGATATGTTGGATGCAGTTGGAGTACCCACCACTTTACTCCGCCATGTGCACCGTGCCGGTCCACTGTACCTTGCACACGGTGGCGAGATGGTTACTACCACGCCCGGTGTATAGCAGGTTGTGGAGTACGTGGGTTCGATCCCGACCCTGACCCCTGTATATTTGGGGTTTGCATGTTCTCTCTCGCCGTGGTCGTGTGGATTTTTCATCGGGTACTCCGGTTTTTTTCCTCCACATTTAAAATCTACACGCGTTTAGAGTATTTGGCTGCTATACGATTCCACGTGATAAGCCACTTTTTTCAGCTATCATTTGTGACCAGGTCGCTTCTGAAAAATATCTATATATATTTTTTACTGTTTTTTATGGTTTTAGTTTTATAATTGTATTTGCACTGCTGGGTTAACAGGCGGAGGTTTGAATAAATGTCACCGATCAAAATAGCAGTGGCAATTATCGTTACTTTAAAACACTTATAATGAGAGTGACGCTTGGCATGGTGTTAGTCAATTGTCTTGTTGAGGCAATCATGTTCTGCGCAAAGAGTCTCTTTCACAATAACATGCTCACAGCACGATTGGCATATATGTGGGGAGAATTCTTTTTTGCAAAATATATCACTTAAAATTGAGGAAAACAACACATCTGTAATAAAGGACTCGGACACTTCTCTCGGACTCCGTGTCCTTTATTTGGGTTCGCGTTCTCCTTCCCTCACGGCACTCCTCCTGAGACTCTCTGCCTGGCAGCTCCACGGCTGCTTTCGCTCCCGTAGCCTTCCGCGCTCCTGCAGCTCCGCTGCAGGCTCTTGGTGCAGCCCTCTGGCTGCTCTCACAGCAGCTCCACCGCTGCTCCCTGTTCCTCCGTGCTCGGTCACCGCTGGCCGGCGGTGCCAAGTCTTACCGTGTGTGGCGATCTCGCCACTCCCCAACCTCAGCCCTCCGTGGCCTCTGTGGCTATCTCGCCATCTCCAATCTCAGCCCTGCGTGGCCTCTGTGGCTATCTCGCCATCTCCAACCTCAGCTCTATCCCCAACTCTCTTCCACCCCGCTGGCTGGCGCCGTCATGAGCCCCTCAGCCACCAGGCTGAGGCACGGCGACCACCCAACGTGTTCACCACCCTTCACTCCCCCGACTGACCCAGATGGCTTCCTGTCTCCCCGCTATAACTTCTCCCCCACGTGACCCTGACTCCTCCCTCTCTGATCGTCATATCCGCCCCGCCCATTTACGCCCGCATTACACATCTATGGTGTTACGCTACGGTGTTATCTACGGTGTTGGTGAAGACGAATTACAGGTTGCATTATTAACATTGTTTCTTCCATGCGGTTAGAGGCAAAAATGTTAACCCACGTGAGATTTGTGAAAGTTTAATGGCGCATGCCTAATAGTGTTACTCATACCGAAGAGTGTTGTGCCATGCAGAAGGGCCATTGGCCGAAACGTTGCCTCATACTTTGCTATTGAGGTAAGAAACACATCTGTTGTGCTTGTGCCCCCTCCCTCCATGGGGAACTCAGACGCAGAGCAGCCCTCATTTTCTCTGCCGCTTCTGAGGCGTGAAAAGCACCGGCGTAATCACCTGGCACGCACGTCGACATATCCAGTGCGAAATCCTCGGCGCCGGATGTGCGGCGTAATTATTCTGTTCCATTATAATCCCCTGCCATTGTATTCCGATGAAGCCAATTATGCTAATTGGCCATTCCCATTGTGTCTCCTCCACAGTCAATTATGTAAATTGGGTATTACCGCTACACTGAAACTTCTTTTTGCGTGCACTTTTATGGGTTCTACAGTGTGTGTGTGTGTGGTTAAGGCTGAATATTCTTTACCGGTTGCATTATTAACATTGTTTTTTACACGCGAAAATTATAATGCGTGTGAGATTTGTAAATGTGTAATGCTGCATGCGTAATAGTTTGCTCGTGCCTAATAGTGATGTGCTATGCAGAAGGAACGTAAAACAATGGCAATCATTGCCAAGTCATTCCCAAGGGCATCAAAACCACCAAGACTTTGTGGGCTACCAAAAATTCACAAACCTGATGTCCCATTAAGACCCATAGTTAGTACAATACAAATTAGCACAATACGTAACAAAACAAATACAGCCCTACATCGGTAGTAGGACCTCTTCGTTCATAAAACACTCTCAACATCTCGTAAATATAATAAAAAATATTAACCCTAATGATATTCTCGTAAGTATGTATGTGACTTCTCTGTTAAATTAAATTACTCGACCCTTGTAACGAACACAGGTTTAGCCAAAGATATCCCAAGACTAGCTGAACACTGTCTAAAGAACACCTATTTCTTGTGGAAAGGTGGCTTCTACAAGAAAAAGGAAGGAACAGCAATGGGCTCCTTTGTCGCCTGTGATAGCGAATTTGTACATGGAAGATTTTCAAACAAAAGCAATAGCTTCAAGCACACTAAAACCATCTGCTTGGTTTAGATATGTGGATGACACATTGGTGGTCTGGCCACATGGCAAAGATACACTTAACGAATTTCTAAATCATCTCAACTCGCAAAACCCATCCATCCAGTTCATCATGGAAGTGGAAGTTTACAGAACTCTACCATTTCTGGATATTCTGCTCGGACGGGGTCGAAATGGTAAAATTACACAGCGTTTACCAAAAGAAAACGCATACTGACGCCTATCTGAATGATGCACAAATCAACGGGGCATTGAATGCCAAAACCAAATCAAATAACACGAGCATTGAAACTGCCCAAGTAATTAGAACTATCAAAATACCGTACATTGCGGGAGTAACTGATAAATTAGCACGGTACATAAAATACAGAAATTAATATCTGGAACAAAAGATGTATTACCGAAGCTATCAACAGAAGGAGATTGTACAGGATTAACTTTACTTGTGGTAAATGTTATGTTGGGCAAACAGGACGAATGATCAGCACGAGACTAAAATAACATCAGAGAACTATTAAATACTCCCAAATACAACTGTCAGCAGTAGCAGAACACACGTACCAACAAGGACACTCAATTGATTTTGATAATGTTGAAGTTCTGTACAAAACCAGCTACTACTGGCCAAGATTAGTTAGATTATCTCTCGAAATTTAAAGAAAAAAATATTATTTTAACCTTTCGGATAGCTACCGACTTAGTGCTGCGTGGAAGCGAATCATCAAATAATACATTGTTGAAATGCATGCGTAACCATACTTCAATAGGGATTACCGTTGGTAAGGCTATTTTAATACACACAATGGACAGGAAGAACAAGATCAAAGGGCTCGCATAATGTGCATGCACAATGTACGTTGGCTCATTAATCCCCACCCCACTTTACGGAAGAGTACAGAAGTGTGGTCACCACATCTACGCCTCCGTATAAGGAACGAAACAGGTGGACTTCTCCACAAATGTGGCTGTCGCCTGATAAAGCTAGTTGTAATTACTGGCAAAACGTCGTACTCAGATTGTAAATGTTGTGGGTTAGTTCTCCAACACACCGGTTAGTGCTGTACTCGTGACGAATTGGCCACGTTCTGTTTACGTGACAACCCTTACTAGTTGGCTGTGTCGGGTGGTGGCGGGTGTTCAAGACATATTTATATATTTACGCGATCTAACCCTAAAAAACCTCTATTATGGAGAAGGGCCATTTGCCTGAAAAGTTGTCTATTATATATTTTTTTTAATATAAGGCAGTGTTATTAACGAATATGTTGAGGTTTTTGTTGTTATTTTTGCTTGAGTACCACTGTCAACGCAGTTATCACCACATATTGTTTAAAAATTTGCAATTTAATATAAACATAAAATCACCACGGTATACAGTGGTATCAAAAAGCCTTCACCTAGCCTGGGTTTCCTTGAAACTCGCTCAACCAAAACGACAGAACTCCAGTGTGGTTGTTATTAAAATCAGGACTGAGAAGACAAACAGCATCCAAGTGTGGGGCGATCTGTACTGAGCCCACTTGCGTGTGATGCCAGCCTTCTTCACAGGCGCTACTTGTCCCAACAGTCTGTAACGCTACAAGTACAGCGGTGGGTGGTGTTTGCATTTAGGAAGAATGTGGTGATACGGTTTGTGTTAGCACACAGCTTCAACGCGTCGTTAATTCGCGACCTTGCACTCTACTAGAGGCTTGGTATTTTTTATGCCAAGCTGTTATTTAGCCATGTGCTAGCGCTGCCTGAAATTCATTCCTAGAATTGCAATTCAGGAAAGCCGTACTGAGAATCTTAACTGATTTTCAAGAGGGTCGTATGTCTGGGATGTTTGGCCAATTGAAGTACCCATGGAAACCGGAGTGCCCAAAGAAACACCACATTATGTAGACATTGACATCCTATAGACTGTGATAAATAATGTATATTTGTTCTAGAAAAGAGAGTCATAGGCATACATGGGCTGGAAAAGAGATTGACTGATGCGGTACAAGAGCATGTGTAGCTGAGTGGACTGGCTGAAGACTAGTATCAGCGGTGTCAAGATCGGCCTCTATGGAGGAGGCTCATGAAGGAAGCTACTGGGCAGTTGGAGGCAGTCGCCCTCCAAAAGCAAGGGAGGGCGGAGGAGCGATGCTCATAACGAGTAGAGCGCCGGGTGGCTAAAATGCAGAAAGTTGGCACAGTAGGGGCACAGCTGGTGCATATGCCAGTCATCTCACAGCCAACCCATGGCACCACCTGCTGGGTCTGTCCCATGACCTCCTGTCAGCGAGAACTTCGACACTCCACGTGGCCTCAAAGTGCACCTGGCCTGGCACAGGCGCCATGGTGACGTCACCGCCGCTTAGTGGCGAATGGCGGCTCTTGCTGTTGTTGTTACTCACGTGCATGCGCGCGTGTGCGTTTGGCCGCTTGTGCACCCAGGTTTATGAGATGATGCTGGTGCGCCATGGCTTCATGCTGGTGGGAGGCCCTCTTGGAGGCAAGACGAGTGCCCTGAGGGCCTTGGCCGGAGCTCTTGGGGAACTGGAGCGGCGAGGCCTCATGGGCGAGCGGCGCGTGGACTTCATCATCATTAACCCCAAGGCCCTCAGCATGGCTCAGCTGTACGGCAGCTTCGACCCCATCTCTCACGAGTGGACGGATGGTGAGCGTGCCAAGCAGTGAGGTATCGTTCCAATAACGAGATGCCATTAGCAAGGCGCGGCATTGAGTTGTCTTACAAGATGATGGGCCGGTTTCCACGCCCTATAGCGGGCTAATTCAATTTAGCACGGTAAGGTCAATTTTCCATAGCAGTCTATCCATATGGATTTTCAAACACCGTCTGTGTGCGCCCGTGCATATTTATACAGTCTTTATCCAAACAGAAATGTATATGCTGTCTATATACTCGGCAACTATAAGGTTACATACATATGCATACCCTGTGTATATATATATGTTTTAAAAGTCAAAGTGTTCCCATGCTCTTTTGAGCGCTGGACAGAGCTCGCAGCGTTGTTGGTCCTGAGCCAGCGGTTAAAAATTCACATTTCCACGTTAAGGAGCAGAGAAGTCTCCACAGGACTTCCCACCCTCTGTTGACTTCCCCACCAAGCAGTGCGTCCCTGCCAGGTGGCATGTACAGCGGTGGAAATGGAAATGTAGAAGGGCCGATATGAAACCTATTCATCCTGCAGCCCGTGCTAACGGCCGTTTCCCCTCTGCGGAGACATCATGGAAGAGGAATAGGAGGCTGGTTCTGGACGGCGCCGGTGTCTACGTTCGGTGGTCGCGAGAAGTGCCGTGGGTGGCGTACCATTGTATGTCGGCCCGTTTCCACCACTGGTTATCGATATTTTATTTTTACAGGACTGGTAGGCTGTCGTGATGAACAATGTACGTGAAGGCACATATCATCATATATGTCAAATGATTAAAAACACGTGCAAACATTTCAGAGAGCAACATTGAATTGTGGATCGTTACACTGGCAGGTGCTTCAACATGTGTATGTGTACATTGTATCTTGCTTTCACATACCTTGTAAGGGTTTTCATCTTTTTTAGTAGTATTTTTTAATTACCATAAACCAAGTTGTGTTAGCTGCATTGGCACGTCGCCATATTACGTCTCGTGAGAGGCTGGCGGTATTGAACTGAGAAGCACAAAAATAAACAAAACAAAACAACATTGATTTGGGAGGTTTTTTTTTTCCTCCCCATGATATTGAACCTTTATTTTCACTTGGCTTAGCAATCATACATACATCAGCATTAATTCTGAGCAATTAAGTGTCTCTCTGTATTGGTCGGTTATGTGTCAATGACAATTAATCTATAGCCTGGCAACACAACAAGGCTCAGGGTTGAGTTCAATACCGCAAAAATAAAATCCCTTAATTTGACCACTCGCTATGCAGTCCTGCCAGTATAATTTGTCAGACCAAATGTGGCAAGTTCCTGCCAATTAATATATCCGCAGTACCCAGTGGTATGGTTTGAACAGAAAAATAAAATCCGTTCTGTTATTATATCATCAAAATCACCTCGACAATCTAATTTTTTACTTTTTATATCGAAAATTTCGAACTAATGTTTTGGATGAAGGCGTATACTCTTCTCTTAGCAAGAACGATTGCTGAAAATCAAGAGCTGAATATGTGATTTAAAAAAAATATTTACACTTCATGTTTTACCTTGTAAAGCCTTTGTTATTTACAATTGTTGGTCAGTTGTATTCTGTCTGTGCTTGTGCATCAATGCCAACACAGTCTCATAAGTTTCATTTCAATTGATATGTAAAGCACGGGCTGATGGATTAAACTTTTTTTGTTTTCCTTCAACAAATCAAACTTGATCCTGATCAGAAGTTGACCAAGGCCATCGTGTCTCTGGGTTCAGTTAAATTTATACTGCGTCTGTGGGAATTCAACAGTGGTTATCTTGCGGGGAGATTGGCCCAAGCAATTGGAATGTGAAATCTCCACTGCTTGCTGAGGGATAACTTTATAATCTCACTTATTTAATTAAAAAAATGCCAAAGTGTTGATCTGCTCAAACAAGCATTGGGAAGGGATTATCCCCAATGACAGTCGTGTGCTCGTGCTGGAAATTCAAATTTCCTACCACAGGGTGCAGTGTCAGGAAACGAGTATCACAGCAGCCATTGTCATACCTGTTAACCCCTTATCAGTGCCCTACCTTATTACAGACCAATTCAGACCTTATTGGTCACCCCCGTGTCCTGATAAATCTCAACGTTCATCCTGCAAAGTCCCATCACAACGGAAAAACACAAAAAATCGACCAAAATTAATTTTAAAAAAATTACCCGTATTGAAACAAGAATACGGGTGAACCGTATGGGTTGAGAGGTAGGTGTGCATTGTGCTGACCACTGGAGACAGCGACTCGATTTGCACCACTGCCAGACGATGTCCAAAGTGCCATTGCATCTGCGTGGGGCATCATCCCGATTGTAATGAGGGACATTGCTGCTTGTGACTCTCTACAGCTCTGTAATGTATTTTCAGGGTATACTCTGTGTTGTTTGGCATGATGCCCGACAGTTCGCTCCACGTGCTTCATCGGGAACTGTTTGTAGCACGTTTAAACTTTAAACTCAACTTTTTTTATTTTACCAGGTAAGGCCCACTGAGATGTGTATCTGTTTTTGAGAAGCGACCTGGCCACAAATGATAGCTCAACGATGTGGCTTATCATGTGGAAAAATATTTCACAGCCAAAAACTCTAAACGCATGTTTTTAATTGTGGAGGGAAAAACCAGAGGATCCTGATAAAAACATCCACACGACCGCGCGGAGAGAGACATGCATACTCCAAATATGCATGCGTCAAGGTCGGGATCGAACCCACGACCTCCTGCACACCAGGCAAGGTATATAACATCTCGCCACCGCGGCACAGAAAATCGGACATCATGCTCAACAACGTGGAGTGCAACCCGAAAACGCATCGGGACAGCTGAGGGACATTGAGTTGGCCTGTTGAGATCGCTACTTGTTAAAGCGATTCTTCTGCTGCTGCTGCTGCTTCCTTTCGTTGGTGCTGTGTCTCAGGCGTTCTGGCCACGGCTTTCCGGGCCCATGCGAGCAGCGTCACGGGCGAGAGGAAGTGGTGCGTGTTCGACGGCCCCGTCGATGCCGAGTGGATCGAGAACATGAACACGGTCCTCGACGACAACAAAAAGGTGCACTGTTGCATTTGCTCATTCGGCACTCCGTAGCAGGGCCAAGTTAAACTTGACCACACGCGTGCTCTGCTGCCTCAAATCCGTGCATACAAATCCCCAAGGCGTGCCTCTTCAATACAGGCAGACCTCGCTTAACGCTCAAGAGGCCTGCCTGGAGACGTGAGTGCTAATCGAATCAGCATTAAAAGGGGTAATTATAGCATTGCATATACGTGGATACGTTCCCAACAGTGTTATTTATTTTCATATGAACAATAAATGAGGGCTTATTTGGGGCAAGTGCGAATAATAATACGGATTGTAAACATTGTTATAAATACAAATAATGGATTAAACTAACATCACCAAGTATGTTTAACACGTAGGCTTTCGCGACCAATATCATCCATAATCGAGGTTTGTTGGGTTAGATCACGTTAATATATAAATGTGTCGTAAATGTTGTTGCTTGGCTCTCCAACACACCGGTGTGCTGTACTAGTGACGAATTGGCCACGTTCTGTTTACGTGACAACCCTTACTAGGTGGCTGTGTCGGGCAGTGGCGGGTTTTAACGACACATTTATATATTTACGCAATATAACCCAAAAAAAACCTTTATTATGGATCACAAATTATTATAAACTGTCCTCACGAGTGCATTATATTGTACTCGATGAGGTTAGAGGAGCTGCTGCACTACTAATGCTCTTCGTCTAAATGTCTGTGGTGAGGTTTCTTTTCGGTGGAGCCTGAGACTCTATCTCGTGAGTTCTCACCTGGCTAAACGTAAAGTGATATTTTTATTTTGTTACGTAATCGTGGCCACGAATCGTCATAATCGAATCTCAGGGGTTGTTGGGGTGGGTGGCTCAGAGCGTTCGTCGCTGTGATTGGCTGAGCGAATGTAAACAAAGATGGCGGCGGTTTCGGCGCTGTACGGTCCCGCTCGTTAGTGATTTTTTCATTTTTTTATGAACATTTCTCCAGGACAAAGAGTACGATAACAACTCGGCGTATTATCGAGTCGCGCTATATGCGAGGTCTGTCTGTGTTGGGGTTTGAGGAAGAAAAAAAACACTCGTCGTCGTTTTGAAGACTTTATCGTGTTATTTTTTCTGACGGTTGCGAATCCGTGCCTGGCGGATTTTCTGCTTTATTAGGCTCCGCTTTGTTGAAGATGGACCGGCGAGGCAGCTGTGGCCCCCAGTGGTTAGCGCACTGCACTGTGAACCCGATGACCTGTGTTTGATTACTGAACGTGGCTAAAGTCAGTTCAGAGTAATATCAAAATTGTTGACCCCATGGCTGATTCATTCTAGGGAGGTCCTCATTCCAGCAGTGAATTTACAAAAGACAAAACATAGTATTACTATTATCGATACGTGTCCGTGTGTTGAAAATAACGTATACAGTATGTTGAATATGTACAACACATATGCTTGCATTTATATTAATACTGGTCAGGTAACACTGGTATAACACTAAACTCAATAGGTCCTGAACCCAAATCCAGTCTTGCGTTTGCTCGGCTTATCTTTCTAGAGGCGATACATTGAATTTCTTATTGTGGGAGATCAACAGTTGTTTGTCTTGGGCAGACTGATCCACCCTGTAGGGATGTGGACTACTGGCAAAGGGCACCACGTTGGCAAGATGTTAACTACCTCGCCTGGTATACACGATGTTGTTGGTTCGATCCCGACCCTGACGCCTCCTGTATATTTGGGGTTTGCATGTTCTCTCTCCCCGTGGTCGCGTGGATTTTTCTCCGGGTCCTCCGGTTTTCCCTCCACATTTAGAATCAACGTGCGTTTTGGAGTATTTGGCTGCGATACATTTCCACGTGATAAGCCACTTTGTTGGGCTATCATTTATGGCCAGGTCGCTTCTGATAAAGAGCTACATAGCTCAGTGGGCCTTACCTGGTAAATAAAAAATAGCTTAGTTCATAGTTTAGTAAATGAACAATGCTGCATGCCAATTTCAGCAGAAATTGGTGAACAATTTCCCACAGTCGCTCTTCTCAACCTTCTCACGTCTGTGATTTTAAACACCCCCTTTTCATCAATAGCTGCACCTAATCGAAGAAACAGCCTCGCAAAGAAACACTGTAGCTTTTATCTCACAGATACGTTCCGAGGCTATATATCGCCGACTGTCTGATACGAGTTTGAATCATTGTTAATTGGATAAGAACGCTTTGGTCAAGTCTATTGCCACAGCTCGCTCCAGTGATGTCGGTTCATTTACATGCACAAAATGTTTGAGTAATATCACAGTTACATTACTGTAGTGCTATGATCATATCCTTGACCATGAATAGAAATTATTTTATTTCAGTGGCATAGCTTCAAACTTACGTTGGACAACCCGGTACATGTAGCCAAGTTGCGTACCGAAACGTTACGTTTTTTTTTTGGGTTGCATCTTCTTTTCACCAAATCTGTTTGTGTAAACACATCTGCCTCCCATAAGCAAAGTGATAATAAATATACATTGAGCTACATTGAGCTGCAAGATTGCACCATGTGAATGTGCTATGTTTTACTCGGTTTCTCAGTGTTATACTACATGCTGAATCTCACAGTTATATACCCACTACCTATTCAATCAAGGTACATTCTCATTTATGACTTGCCTATTACAGTTCTCATTGTTTAGCGTCGATGTAGCTGGGCTCGCAATGTAATGTAATTGCAAATGACCATTTAATTGCACAAACAATTAGCAGTGCGCCCGGGATATTGCCAGTATCGGCCTCTCATGCTGGGCGCTTTTCACGATGTTGCAAGTCAACAAATGCACACGGATATAATATGCTTGTTGTCCATTTTATGAGTGAATTGGGAAGATCAGTCCAAGGTAACGTGCTACTATATACTACCGATGTCAAAACCGAGGCAAAAATGTCACATGCTATAAAACGTTGCGAGTCATCGCTAGAAGAAGAAGAAAAACCTGCAATGCTTGCAAGATCTTCACGGCCATACAAACGGCAGCCCTGATGTAGACACCAGCCATTAAAGTCACTGGTTGCCACACCAGCTGGGGGCTTTTAATGCAGCAATCAGAAAGACAAGATTCACAATTGAAAAAAAGATCGCTTTTCCAATTTGCCCTTTTACTGTTTACAATGGGGACAACTGTTTTTTTTCCACCAATAAATGTAAATTTCGAGGAACATTCATATCATGGGACCTCTTTTTGCCAGTATCAAAGTGCGAAAAATAATAGAGGTTTTTACTGTTTCAAACACCAAATTGAAACTTTTGCGAGAAATCAAGTCTGCATTAACTACACATACTTGTGGCGAACATGGAAAGAAACATAATCTGATAATTATAGATGCGTTGTCTGTGAAACTGAAGAAGGCTGGATCTGGTGTAGGCCAACCAGTTTCAAAGACAATGCATATATTATCAGACCATGTTTGTTTACATGTTCACCACAAGTACTGCGTGTGGTTCGTGCTGATTTGATTCCTTGCAAAAGGTTTCTATTTGGTGTTTGAACATCTTGGGAACATTCATCATCACGTGAATTGCGCCATAAATGTGTCCTCACTCTTCGAAGAAGCGTTGGATGTAATCATCTCAATTGGTCGCTTCGGAAGCTAGTTGTTGGAAATTCCACATACCCGTGGTGACAATCAGAAAGAAAAAAAACAGTTGACTTGCCCGAGGTGAATGTGAATGTGAGCCGAGCACTCTGCCGCAGCGACACGCGACTGGACGTGAATACGTCCCAAAAAGCCACATTCCCGTCCTGATGAAGTGGTCAGAACACATCACCGCATCGATTTGTTCCCTTGTTGAACGTGGGAATATCCGCCGTGGTTTTACAAATCAGGGGAGCATCACACCACCACTGTGAATCTGGCCAAACAAGTGCAAATGCCAAGTGTTACATTTACTAATAACTAGATGTAAAATCTAGTAATCATAACTTGCCTGTACGGACGGTGAGTGATATGGTGAATTATTTATTTGATTGCAAAGGGGAAAGGCTGTCAATAACAAAAAAATATAAATTTTAAACCGGGGTCCTGTAAGCAGTGGGGTCAACCAAGGCTCTGCATTCATGGGAAATGAATGTGACTATGCTTTGAGAATAACGAATTAGAGTTTTGGCTGCAGCTGTACGCTCACGGTAATTGTTTGCTTGATATACCTTTTTTTTATATATATGTATGCTAATTTGCAACCATATTTGTGCTTATTTATTTATGTACATATCTGCGGTTGGTGACTGCGATTGTAATTGAGAATGAGACTTCCACACTCGCACGCACGCACACATTGTAAGCGTATTTAATTTGCTTTTAATGTGGTTGACCCCAATCCTGGCAGAGCTTTTATCGCTCTTATTTGTGGGCTGTGATTAATAAGGCCAGAGAGAGGGACACGGGAGGTGCGTGAGTGGTGGGAGTATAAACAGTGTACATTTTCACGCCCAGTGGGAACCACTAAACAACAGAAGCAACAGGGGAGGCGGGAAAGGAAAAAAAAGTACAAAATGTGGGGAAGAGATTGATTGCGCATTGCTGTGATAAATGCATCAAGCCGCAGTTGTTTATTTATTTGCTTTCACAGTGGAGAGCTTCTACAGTGGCAGTCAGTTTGACCCATGCCGAAACGCTGTTCATCTGGGGCCTATAAATATCAATACTTTAGGGAGAGGTTAAACTTGCCGGGCTGCAAACAAATGTAAGCAAGCCACCCTCTGTGAGGGGCAGTCTACTGATAGGTTGTTTTTTCCCTCCCCATCCAATGTAAACGATGGACGTGATGGTAGTCCAGATAGGTTCACCGCTATGACAGCAGTCTCCCTTCGGTACAACAGGCCTCAAAAGCACTGCTTCAGTAGGCTGAATTTTTATTTTAATGATTGTGGACATTTATTTCCACAATTTTATATTACCAAGATGATGGCAATTCTTCACGAGATATGACTGCCGTGCTTGAGCACGGCTTGTCGTCCTCATGTTCATCGTCACAGCTGTGTGAAACGATTAA